GAGGGAAGAGACCGACCTACCAAGGGTTCGAGCTGCCTTCAGATCGAACTCCAAGAATTCAGGAAACGTAAGGTATGACCTGAAGGGTTGGGGGTATTTATAGCTTGTTGGAAAATTTCCCCACCGTACACGTGTAATCAACGAGCGGCTAGGATCCTCCCGGAGATCCGAAGCGTCGGAATATTTGAATATTCCGATGATAAATCCACCGCAACGGTTATGTTTTCCCACGAATAGGGAGTCGCCACGTGTCCGAAGCAAATCAAATGAACTTCTTTGCCAGGTCGGGATCGGACCAGACAGAGAGGGGGCCAATGTTTGGGGGAAAGAATACCCTGGACACGTGAAGGACAGCCATTGGTGCCCCAAGGTGACCATGAGTCATGCCTCAGCTCGGACTGCCGAGATCACCACCACTAGCGTTGACAGATGTAAGTATGAGGGCCGAGGTGAACTTGGCCGAGGTCCGACCTATCGGGAAGCTCGGTGGGGGCCGATGTGAGCTACTGTCAGCGGCGTGATTATCGGGTATAACCGTCGGTCCCGAGATTACCGGGTGTAACCGACGGTCCCGAGATTACCGGGTGTAACCGTTGCGAGATTAGCGGGACTACCACCCATAAGTAGCACTCCACGATCAGGTACGATGATTTCTGACCTCGAACTAAACTGGGAATCCGACCTATACTGACTTGATTGTCGGAGTGCTCACCTTTTTGTGCAGGTCTGCCCAAGTATTCAGATCGGTCCGGAGGCCGAATTCGAGCTACAATCTGAAATACACTGTTGCGCATATCCTTGCATAAACAAATTAAGTAAACAAGAATCATATTTTAATTAAAAAAAAGAAAAACAAAGCATATCATTTTTTAAGTAAACTTTAAAAATCAAAAACCATATTTCAACCTTAACTTAAAAAACAACTAAAATTAAACAAACAAGTAAAGAATTATTTTTTCGTCAAAAGAAAATTTAAATTTAAAATTCGGCGGCCGACGGCGACGGCGAGGGAACCAGTTTGAGAAGGCTAATTCTGCCGCCGTTCCGTTAAAATGTCAAAAGTCAACGTGAAAGCCGAAGACCGATTAGCCGACACGCGTTGAGAACGCGCGTGAAGTTCCACGCTCCGACCACCTCTGTCCAATCAAAATTAGGAAAAAATAAAAAAGATAAACAGAATAAGAAAATAATAAAATTAATAAATTTTAAATCCGAAACGCCGGCCCGAAATGTTTGTGAATGGAAGAGTCACAGACCCTCCAAAAACGAGGACAGCGTCCACTACTCTCTCACAGAACCAATTTTATAAACACAGAGTTTTAGAGAGAGAGAGAAGCGAGAAGAGAGAGAGAGAGAAAGCGGAGAAAATTAAGCCGGAGGAGCTCGGGAAATCAATTTCTTCCGATTTGTGGAACCGGGAACGAAAAGGGGTCGTTTTGTATTTTTTTCTTTTGTTTTGAATTCGAGGCTTTTTTCTCCGACTTGGGTTTTGCGATTCTTGTGGAATGGTCGTCTTCTTCTACGTAGATCTCGGAATTTGTCAATACTCCGGAGCTTCGGAATTCCCAGATCTTTGATTCGACGGTCGGATTCCGATCGCTCTGCGTTCGAGATTCAGCTCGAGAACTCAGGTATTTATTCCCTTTTTTCCCAATCAATCGGTCCCCCCCAAGTTTTCAATTCGTCAATTCCATTCTTGGGTTCTCTCTGTTTTTCTTCGAGTTAATGGAGAGGAACTCGGGAGATGATTTTGGGGTTTATTGGATTTGTGTTTACTCACCGACGGAACAGAGCATTTGAGATGTTTGGGATATGGGTGGAATTTTGGGGAGTTTGACCGGCGAGGCGGCGGAGTTTTAAGCTTTCTGATTGTTGTTTAGACCCTAATTATTTTAGTTGTTGAATGGGTTTGACTTTTTTGGAGTAGTGTGAGTTCTTTGTGTAATGGTTTTTGAGGACATTGTGAGCTATTGTGATTGAAAATTGAGACCCAAATCAATGCATCTTTTTAAGTTTCAAGGTTTTATATCAGTATGAAAGAGATGGGAGTTATTGCCTAGCTATCTTATTCCTACTTTATAAAGGAAAAAAGTATTACTCACATTTTAATGTCTACAGCCAGCTTTTAACGTTAAATAATTTCTCATATTATCTATTGAGGGAAAATTAAAAATTAAATTTAAAGCATATTTATGAATGGAGGTCTATTAATGAGATATTTGTGTTAAATGGTTGTTAATGATGAGTAAATTTTCAAACTTAAATAGTGATTTCAGTTCTTGAAACTTGACTTAAAGGTTAGGAATTTGTTGTGTTCATTGAATTGATGTTCGAACTTTTCTTTCTTTTGGGTACTTATTTTTCTTTTCCTTCTACTTCTTTAATTATTAAGGATGAAAAGAAAGTGGTTTCGGGGTTACCATCCATTTTTTTTATCAAGGACAAAATCAAGAGAGTTCTAAATTCACTAGATTGCTAAAGCTAAAGGACATTGTGAATTTAGGACAGAAAATAATGTCTTAAAACCAGCCAGATGAGCTTGGTTTTAGTTTCTATTTTCTTGAGATTGTTCAAATCAATATTTGCAATTGCATAGCTTTATTTAAAAACCTACCGACCAGCCTACAATTCTTCTTTCCCTAAGGAGATGGTTAGAGCCCTTAGACAGTTTAAATATCCTTAAATTGTACAAATCTTCCTTCGGTTGGTCTTTGTGGAGGCATGAGTACCAATGATAATATATGAACTAGGAAGTAGGAAATCCTTTCCAAGCCATGTTTGGTGGAAACTTTTCCAAAAGTTCAGAGCGCAGTTTGTCTTCCAAGGCTTGGTTGAAGAAGCCCTTGTAACCTGTCTTTGTGGTGTCCCATCTCAGGAAGCCAAGGGTCATATGGTTAAATCATGCTATGCGAGCTCTTCTTTGGAGTGTTTGGTTAGAACAAAACATGACTTTCCAAAATGTTTGTAAAAGATAACCTTGGAGGGAGGTGCTGTCTTTTACTAGGTTCAATGCCTTTCTTTGTTTTCTGTTTCTTAATTATCTCTTATTCCCAATAAGAATAACTGGAGCCCTTCTTTTTTGTTTTTGACTTTATTTTTGTATTGTTTGTTTGTTTATTTTTTCAATTATCTAAATGGAAGCTTGGTTCTCATAAAAAATGGATAGATCCACAGTAGAGAACATGAGACATCTGCCAAACTGAAAGATGAAGGCTAGTGCATAGGTATTTTTAGGGTGTGCATGAAGAATTTTGGTTACTTCTTATCATCTAACTAAATCTTTAGTGATTCAAGTTTTGACCATTTCGATGGGTTCTTCAACTCCTAACGGATCAATTTTTGTATTCAATTTGCAGATTCTTTAACATCATTCACATTGAAAATTTGATTGGACGTTTTCTGGGTCCAAATCATCCTGATATAGTATTGGCCGTTGGCTTGTGCTGGACACAACTTACATCATTTATTTATGAAGTAGTGATGCATTTGTTTTAGATGAAGACAGGTCAAAAGTGGCGGTTAGACATGGGCGATATGAAAATTCTGCCTGGTCCTCGACAACGTCCTACCAAGAGGCCATTATGGATCATTATCTTGGTTTCTATGGTCAGTGTGTTCCTAATATGTGCCTATATCTATCCACCCAATGGCTCAGGTGCCTGCTACATATTTTCTTCTAAGGGCTGCAAGGTTATTACTGACTGGCTCCCACCCGCACCTGCAAGGGAATATAGTGATGCCGAGATCGCATCACGTATTGTTATTAGAGAAATTTTAAACACACATTCTGTTTCAACAAAAACTCCTAAAATTGCATTCTTGTTCTTGACTCCTGGTTCCCTGCCTTTCGAGAAGCTATGGGATAAGTTTTTTGAGGTAAGTTTCTGTATTTGCTTACTATTATCACTATTTATTCCTTGATCTTTTCCCGGATCTTCATGTAGTGATTATGTTTTTAACAGTTTAGCCATCATATTTACTTTTATCCGGGATGTCGATGTGTTTGCTGCCTACTGTAACTTGTATATATTATATAATATGTATCCTTCAGATATTTGTTGGACTCTGCATGATGAACAATATGCTTTGTTAAACCAACAATTTGAATTGAGGTTATAATTTAAGACCGAGACAACTTGGGAAAAACTCGAATCTTGCTTTTACTTCGTGATATACAAGTCCAGTTGAATTGTTTGAAATCTTAATACTCTCTAGTTGTATAGGTTTATCTATATGAAGACCTTTTCACTCGAATGCTTGTCTAGGCAATCATGGCAGAGAAATCTGTTGAAGTTAATATCTTAATCTCATATGTCAATCTCTACTACTCTCTATGAAGCTATTAAAGCCGTTATTATTCCGTATAACCCTGATGTTTTCGGCTGAAACTATTTCCATCTCTTGTCAGGGCCATGAAGGGAAATTCTCTGTTTATGTCCATGCATCAAAGCAGAAGCCAATACATGTTAGCCGTTATTTCGCTGGCCGGGAAACTCATAGCGATGAGGTCTATATTTAACTTTCAGAAGGAAAAGTTCACTCTCATGACTAATATCTTTTATCGAAACACCTTGTAATCAGTTTGGCGAATTTGTTGTATGTCAGGTTGTTTGGGGTAAAATTTCCATGGTCGATGCAGAGAGAAGATTGTTAGCAAATGCTCTCCATGATCTTGATAATCAGCATTTTGTCTTACTTTCTGATAGGTGATCATCATATGGAATTACTGAATTAGCTCAACTTTTCTGATCGAACTTGTGATTACTTTTGCTATATACGATACTGATTTGTTATATCTGAAATTGCAGTTGCGTACCGCTTCATAACTTTGATTATATCTACCAGTTTTTGATCTATACAAATATCAGCTATGTGGACTGGTGAGCAATACCCGCACAACATATTCTTTACACGAATTTGATTTGGAGATATGGATTACTTATTTCTCGTCATTTTTTCTCGTTCAGCTTTAACGATCCTGGTCCACATGGAAATGGGAGGTACTCAGAGCATATGCTACCTGAAATTGAGATGAAAGACTTCAGAAAGGGTGCTCAGGTATAGATATTGAAGAGTATAGTAATTATCTACCACAATATCGTCAGTTTCTAGATTAGTTTTAGGTCGTTCATGTTCAAAACAATCATTTTCTATCTACTTTACATATGAACTGTTTGGTTTCATTTTGACATGGATGGAAATTTGCTTCATGAAACATGCTTCATTAGTTTGAATATTCATATGCTAACAGTTATTAAACCTCTCTCTCATCCAATTCTTCGAAACTAACCACGTTGTCATGAATTAAAAGTTTTTGGCATGATGCATATCCTTAGAAATCTGATCTTCTTCCTGTGGCTTCACAACCTCAATATTTGAAAATTTTGTGCAGTGGTTCTCGATGAAACGACAACACGCTTTGATTGTTGTGGCTGACAACCTTTACTACTCAAAATTTCGAGATTATTGCAGGGTAAATTGTACTTTTATTTCAGCGATTATGAATCACAGTCCCGGAGATGTTTGATTAATAGAACTAGGACGATGATTCTACATAGTAATAAGAATTTGTTGGTCATTTCAGCCAGGCCTGGAGGGCCACAATTGCATTGCAGATGAGCATTATTTGCCCACCTTTTTCCATGTAAGCGTTTACCTTAGAATCACATCTCCAGACTTGTGTATTTTGAGCATTTCCAACAAAATGTTGGGTTTTATGTCGTCCAGATAACGGATCCTGGAGGGATTGCAAACTGGTCTATTACTCACGTCGATTGGTCTGAAAGAAAGTGGCATCCGAAATCGTATGGGGCTCAAGATATTACGTATGAACTTCTGCAAAATATCACGGTATGATTCGAGACGCCTATAATATGTTGTGCACACATTGATTACATCTTGTTAGTATAGATATTTTAGATTATGTTGGATGTCTCTGTTTGCAGTCGATCGATGTAAGTGTGCACGTTACAAGTGACGAGAAGGTAAGCCTATTCTGACAGATCTTAGATTTGTTATACGTTATAAAGCCTACGACGACAAACATTTGAACATTTTTTTTGTATTTGAGCTATGTACAGAAGGAAGTGCAAAGATGGCCATGCTTGTGGAACGGTGTACAGAGGCCGTGTTACTTGTTTGCGAGGAAGTTCTATCCCGAGGCTCTAAATAACCTTCTAAACCTCTTCTCCAACTACTCGTCGATTTCAAACAGAAAATTTTGACTTGATATTCTTTGATCATATCAGTTTGTTGCTTCGAACAAACCCGTCCGCTCTTACAACAAGAAAGTCAGAAAAAAAACGCCACATCTTGTGAAGGCTAAAACAAAGCCAACCATTGTTTGATGACAGTGAAGGTAGGAGGGAGGGAGGCTAAACTGGGGAGTTTGCTTCCTTATGGAAAGTGATTTGATGTGAATTTTTTTATATAATTTAATCCATTTTGGGGCATTTTGTGGGTCATCACTTTGTAAAAGATGACAGTGAAAGTAGCAAATAGGCATTACAGAAGTAGTCGTATCTTGAATCTCATGGTTAATTAAAGCAAACATTCTTGCCTTATTCCCTATGCAATGCCACCCAAAAACCAAAAAAAATGTATGACTAACTAAAATATAGTCCAAGAACAATTGATAACCCCGGGATGTGATAAGTCGACATCGAACAGTCTTGGCCTAGCTTAATAAGCATTGGTTTGAGACTGGTCAAACAACCCTTTGAAGAGCTAGGTGACAATTCAACATTTTTTTAAATAAACAATCAATAAATTTGCAAAAGGGGCTTTTCAAGTATGACTTTATTGAATTGAAGAGGCTCACGAAGCTTAGGACATAGTTGGATGAACCAATGTGTATTAGTGTTAGCTCTATGACCTGAACACGATTGGTGTTGACCATACCAAGTGCCATCCGAGTCGAAATGTCGCAGAAAAAATTGTCGTTAGTCAGAAAAAGATACAACGACTAATTAGCGAGTAGCTGCATAAAGTAGTATATTCTTTTGATCCAATTTCATTCTATTTCGTTTTCTTTACTAATGCCGTATTTTATTAGATAAATTTTGAACCTTATTTTTCTATGTAATGATATTTGCCATCTAAGAAACCTCAAAATAATTGGTATCCATTTGAAAAGAATTATTAAATTTTTTTATTAAGGTCCATTTGGAAGTTTGATCAAACATTCTCACCTAATCAACCAAGATGTGTGACATGGGTATTTAGGGATTTCATTTTCATATCAATTGGCAATTGCAGTGAAAATAAGCATTTGATTGACCATCTTGTTGGAAGATGTAGATGGGTCGTTATCGTGATCACTTTACTATTCGAGCTTTTTTATCTATAAATAAGGTTAAAATAGAAAAAATACTCGTGAACTTTATTATTTATTTAAAAAATACGTTTTAATACTATCTTTTAACCTTCCTAAACATTTCAAAAATATTCTTTTAAGTAAATATCCATTAATATTTTGAATAGAAAGTTTATGTGACATAATTTGGAAATAATGTGGCAATTAATGTGAAAGCTTCCTCAATTTACCAAATTTTACCCTAAAAGTATTTTTCCTCTATTGTCAATAGAGTTTGCTTCATCACTCTTTACTCAATTTTGCTCTAATATTGTTTCTCTCTTTTTAGAGTTAATCCAAGTAAACTTCCACGTTAATTGCACGTCGTTCTAAATTCTTCTACGTCAACTTCGTTCAAAATATTAATGAATGTTTGCTCAAATGAGTATTTTTGAAATGTTTACGAAAGGTCAAGAGTAGTATTGATACTTTTAGAATGACAAATGGTAAAATTAAGGTTTTTTTTTTGGTAATTTACCCTCTAAATAAAATAAAGAATAAGACATGATTTAGAAAAATTGGATAACAAAAGTATATCACATATTAATTATATTTTTATTTTTATTATTGTTTGTTCAATGGTAACCCTAGAGAGGATGGAATGACATTTTTTTAGTACATCATGTTGGGAGGGATTCGAACTCACAACCTCTTAGTTGGAGGATGAAATGTCATTAATTTAGTTTTAAGACACATATATGATTTAATTTCTAATATTTATGTCACATTTTAATTTTGTGACAAACCTAACTAAAGAAACTTATCCATGCGGTTTTAATATAATTTCAATTTCATCTCTATGAGTTTGTTTTATTAAATCTTACAAATGGTCTCTAAATCATTTTACTCACCCAAAATTTACCAATGTAAAAGTTTTAATTTGACCAAAACTATATTACAGTTGTCAACTTGTAGATTGAGCCAAATATCAAATATTAGCTCATTCACATGCAAATTAAAAGACATGTCACATAGCATGGTCATGATCATCATGACAGGGACCAAACTAAAATTAAGTTAAAATCATAGGGACCAAATTGAAAATTTGAGAATTACTCAGTATCAAACTCGTAATTTAACCAAAACAATACATCGACAAAATTTGAAAAGTATAAATTTTAATAATATTTTGGTCCCTCTACTTTTTTGGTTAATTTTGGTCATTTACTTTCAAATTGTCCATTGTAGTCCACCTACTTTCAAATTTTATTTATTATAATTCATGTACTTTTCAAACGTCTATTTTTATCTTTATATTTTTTAAAAATGACAATTTTGTAGTTCATTTTTATTTTTATCTCATTTCCTTCCATCGTAATTTTAGCATTACGTTTCACATAATAAATTTTTTGAAATTTAATCATAAAATTGTATTAAATATTTTTTAATATAACATGTGAAGGTTAGGATTCGAATTCACGATCCTTTAATAAAAAATAAATATCCTACAAATAAAAATTAAATCGGCCAAAGTGAAATAGACATTTTGGGAGTTAAAATGGATAAAAAATAATATTTAAACCAAAATATATATATATATAACCTTCCCAAGAAATCTGGTTTCGGCAAAACCCCTCAGAAACCTGAGCATCGATCGGGATCATCTTGGACAGTAAAAACAGGGCTTCAGAAATTGCTTCCGAATCTCTTAATCGTTCGGAACCATGCTTCTTCTTCTCAACATCTTCAATCCTAAACGAGTTCGCTCTTTAACTTCTTCTTCCAACGGTTCATCCAAAAGCCGCTGTCTCCAAACTTTACTGAAAAGCGGCTTCTCTCCTACTCTCAAATCTATCAATCACTTCCTTCATTTTCTCTACCAGAACCGTAGATTCGACTATACCCTTCATTTCTTCTCCCAAATTAAGGCCAACCACATCAAAGGAAACTCCCGAACTCACCTATTTCTCACATGGGCTCTCCTGAAATCCCACAAATACGACGACGCAGAGCGAATCTTGAAGTCCCACATGCCGGAGGCTTCAATTTTTCATCGAAATCGTCTGTGGAACTTGCTGATTCTAGGAATTTGTGTCGATCAAGAAGACCCAGAAAAGGCATTGGGGATTCTGCGGGATTGCTTGAGAAACCATGGTATTTTGCCTTCTTCTTTCACTTTTTGTGTGTTGATTCGTAAATTTAGCTCTTTGGGTGAGATGGATAAGACTGTGGAGCTTCTGGAGCTAATGTCTGATCAGGGTGTGAACTACCCTTTTGATAATTTTGTCTGTAGTTCTGTAATTTCTGGGTTCTGTAAGATTGGGAAACCAGAATTGGGTCTGAAATTTTTCGAGAATGCTAAAGCATTGGGGAATTTGAAACCTAATTTAGTGACTTATACTGCGCTCATTAGTGCACTCTGTAAGTTGAATAGAGTTAATGAAGTTTGGGATTTGGTTTGTAAAATGGAGAAGGAAAATTTGGCATTTGATGTTGTGTTCTATAGTTGCTGGATATGTGGGTATATTTCTGAGGGTTTGCTATTGGATGTGTTTAAGAAGAACAGGGAAATGGTCCAGAAAGGAATAAGACCTGATACAATAAGTTATACCGTTTTAATACATGGTCTTTCCAAGTTGGGGAATGTGGAGAAGGCGTTTGGGGTTTTAGAGAGGATGAAGAAATCGGGATTAGAACCGAGTTCGGTTACGTATACGGTGATCATGCTGGGGTTTTGCAAGAAAGGGAAACTGGAAGAAGCATTTGCACTTTTCGAAATGGTTAAGGGTTTGGAGATGGAGGTGGATGAATTTATGTATGCAACTATGATTGATGGATGTTGCAGAAATGGGAATTTCGATCGGGTTTTTGGCCTTCTTGATGAAATGGAAACGAGAGGGATGAAACCAAGTATTGTTACATACAACACTGTGATTAATGGACTCTGCAAATTGGGGAGAACATCGGAGGCTAATAGGCTATCAAAGGGGTTACATGGCGATGTTATTACATATAGTACTCTGTTACATGGATACATCCAAGAACAGAACATCACTGGCATTTTCGAAACAAAGAAGAGACTCAAAGATGCCGGGATTTCTCTGGATGTTGTCATGTGTAATGTTCTGATCAAAGCACTTTTCATGGTTGGCGCATTTGAAGAGGCTTATATACTCTACAAGAGCATGCCACAAATTGGCCTTATTGCAAATTCAGTTACCTACCGTATGATGATTGATGGATATTGTAATATTAGTAGGATCGATGAGGCAGTCGAGATATTTGATGAGTTCAAGTCAGCATCATGCAGTTCAGTGTCTGTTTACAATAGTATTATAAAAGCACTTTGCAGAGAAGGTCGGGTAGAAAGGGCCTATGAGGTCTTTATTGAATTGAACCTCAAAGGTCTGACTTTGGATGTAGGTGTGTATAGGATGCTTATTAGGGCCATTTTTGAAGAAAAAGGTGCAGCAGGGCTTTGTGAAGTAATTTATGGGATGGAAAAATTGGAACAAGATATGTACAATTTTATATACAACGATGTTATTCAGTTACTATGCAAGAGAGGTTTCCCGGAGATGGCGAGTGAATTGTATTCAAGAATGAGGAGAGTCGGTTTGCTTCTTGAAACGAAAACATATTATTTACTCGTAAGAGCATTGAATAGTGAAGGAATGACGCAGATGAGTTGGTCTATTTTGATTAATTTTTTGAAAGAATATGGCCTAGCTGAGCCCATTGTTAAGCAGATATTTGCAGACTTTCAATGCAGGAAGTTCACTCTTTTAACTCCAGAGAAAATGGAAGAGAAAATATCAACATTTACAGTATCTGATGCCACGTTTAAAGAGCTAGTAAAAGAAAGACGATTTATTGATGCTTATAATCTTGTAATGAAAAGTGGAAACAATCCCTCGCTTGGGGACGTATTTGATTATTCGATTCTGATTCATGGTCTTTGCAAAGGTGGACAAATGACCGAAGCGTTGGATATTTGTGTTTGTGCCAAAACAAATGGAATAAAGTTGAATATTGTCTCTTATAATTCAGTCATAAAGGGACTGTGCCTTCAAAGTCGTCTTACCGAAGCATTCCAACTATTTGATTCACTGGAAATAATAGGCTTGATACCTACAGTAATCACGTATGGGACTCTAATCGACTCTTTATGCAGAGAAGGATACCTGGAAGATTCGAGGCAGTTGTTCGAGAGGATGATCCCGAAAGGTCTTAAACCAAATACACACATTTACAATTCATTAATTGATGGTTACATCAGGATTGGTCAAATTGAAGAAGCCTTTAAGCTTTTACATGTATTGGGGACAGAAGTTTTTAGTCCTGATGAATTCTCTGTGAGCTCCGCAATCAAGGCATATTGCCGAAAGGGTGACATGGAAGGTGCTCTTTCATTCTTTTTCGAGTTCAGGGAGAAAGGTATTTTACCCGATTTTTTGGGATTCTTATATTTGATAAGAGGTCTTTGTGCCAAGGGAAGGATGGAAGAAGCACGTAATATACTGCTTGAGATGCTACAGTCCCAATCAGTGGTGGAGTTGATTGACAAGGTTGATACCGAGATTGAAACAGAGTCTATCGGAAGCGCTCTTGCTCATTTATGCGAGGAAGGACGTATCCTAGAAGCCTATGCTGTTCTTAATGAAGTTGGCTCTATCGTTTTCTCTGCTCAGAGGCATTCTACTGACTATAATCAACCTCGTAAACTACATATAAATGACAAAGAATCTGTTGCTGTTATTAGTTCTGGATTCGAAGCCTACCCGGGGATAACCCTTCAAAATTGTGAATCATCAGATTTTGACACATTAGGAAACACGAAGTACGAGAATCTGGAAAAGAGGCCTCATTTCCAGGACTTCAACTTCTACTATCCTCTACTTTATTCCCTTTGTTCTGAAGGAAATGTTCAAAAGGCTAGTCAATTAGCAAAGGAGGTAATTTCCAATTTGGACAGAGGCTAATTGTGAAGGGAAAAAATGAAGAACTCGGCTTCATCATTAATTGGAGTTTCCTCTCCGTTAATAAAAGAATTTCTGTTCCCCTTTGGTAAATGCTGATCAATGGGCAAAGGAAGCACTCTCAATCTGATCGGAGGTTGATTGCATAACAGAAACGGTATCGATTATTCATCTTACAGCGGTTCCTCTTGGTTAATGTGCGAAAAGAGAAGCATTACTCTGTGCAGGTAAACATGATTTATCATTCCATATGCAAGATGAATTGGATGCATTTTTGTGTTACTCTCTCTGATTTCCCTCTTGATATATAAACTGTTGTGGAAATATATATTTTTCATGTAAATTTGACACTATAGGTTTACATTTGTAGTGTTGGGAAGTACACCTAGAAGCTTATGAGTTGATCATGTTAATTTTTAATCTTCTTTTAGATTTATGGAATTCCAAGATACCTATTAGTTCAAACATGAGGACATGGAAATATCAAATGATAAGTAATAAACTAATATACTAATATACTAACATTAAAACGTTACTATATTAGTTTATTACTTACAAAAAGAGTTGGCAAAATTTTTACGAAATCATCCCGCAAACTATTTGAAGGCTGATGAAATGATTATAACGTTGTTGTCAATGTGTATGACATGATTATTTAAAAAAATCTTATGATAACCCGAACATATTTTGTTTAGGTGCTCGAGTAACTGATATTCTGCAAAGGAGTAGATCGCTGTTGAACCGTGTGCTTGGAAGGTGTTCTGTTTTCTCAAGTGAAACTGGATGCATAAATATATCAATCTATTCTTGTTAACCTGTCCATAGCTCTGTTGATTATGACATATATCTCCAACCAAGATAGAAAGGTTTGAATCTACATGTCTTATATCAATGTTGTATTCTGGTGACTTTTCTCTTTTACATGTTAATTTACATTAACTTTTAGCACTGGTTTTGATCTTGCTTGCAGCTGCAGGGTCTAAAAGGAAAGTGGGCCGGAAGAAAGGAAACAAGGAGGGCCCAAGCCCAAAAAAGAACAGAACATATGGAGAAAGGCCCAAGCCCCTTTTGGAAATGGAAACCAACCTATCACCTCTCTTATGGTTAGATTTGAAGGAGGTTTTCCACTCTAGTTTAACATTTTTTGTAATCCTGTTAGCTCAACGGTAACGGTTAAGGCATTTGGGAAGCACTAGGCTTTTAAATTATAAAAATTTGGTCGCTATAGTTTGAAGATAGTTTTAATTTTGTTTCTATGGTTTTATCAAATTTAACAAATCGTTTATATTGTTGCCACATTAACACAATTTCTTTATGTTGGAATGAGTTGGTATTTTCTTGTTCAACTAGCCATATTAGTTGAGTGTATTAGGGTTTGGGTTGAGTGAAAAATAGAAAGATGTAGGTCGAGTTTTTAGGTGGATAAAAAACAGTTTGTGGATGATTTGTGAGGTTAATCAAACTACAACGACTAGACTTAAAGCTAGCAAGGTTACGTGAATATTTAATATCCATAAATGTGACATTAGGATATTAAAATTCTATTAATTTTTTAACAACGAGATGCTGTAAGGTTAGTAGGCGTCCAAAGAAATTAGTCTTAGTTGTATGAATATATTAAAAAAATGAATTTAATATATATTTCCTAAAAATGTTACAACATGTTTTTTTCTTTACAAAGATGACATAGATTTGACTTTTTTTTAAAAATGTATTTTATATTAATATGAGTCTGGTTTTGATTACGCTGTTTTTTAAAGATCAATTTTTTGTTGTATTTAAAAATTCATTTTTGTATTATTGCTACTTGCGTGTGTGTATATTCCAAATTTAATTTAATTTAATTTTGAGAACAACCGTCAAACAATTCCACAATTTTTTTTTGAACCAAAGATAAAAAAAAATAGAAGAACTGAAGACTTATGGTCAATTTGCATAACTTGACTTAAAACATACATTAATATAAAATCAAATCAACGTCACTTATAAGTATAGAAAAATAATTAGATTGTTCTCCTTTTTGGAAAATATATTTTAAAAGAGAAATCTAACTTGAAGATGTCTAAATTAAAAAAAAAAAATCTATTATTAGAAACAAATAACACTTTGTTGCTAGAAGTAGATTAAAATTTCACAAYATTATTGGATTGAACCTGTTGATGTTGGTTGGACGAGGTAATTGGTTGACTTCATATTCAAAGTGGATGTCTAATCAATCGAGGTGATGACTTGCACATAAGATCTTGTACCGATGTGGTACTTGGCCATGTATACATYGAGGTTTAAGTTAGTACTAAGTTTGAGTCGAACTTGATTAGGATGCGTAGAAATTACATATCTTTGTGAGGAATAGATATGTAATTTCTCCGTACACGGCTTTTACGTTAGTAACATCCATATTTTCAAATCAGTCTTAAGTTGCATTTTCATAGAATTAGTTAAGGATGATTCCGTCCAATCGATTTTGTCATTTTGACTTATTTAAACCATGATTTAGACACATATTTCCAAGCGAAAAGTCGGATTCCACCTCTCACAAAACCTATATTTCTCTAAATCTAGTTTGGGTCATATTTTTTCAACGTTAAAATATTAAATCATTTAGATAATTAAAAAAGTTTCCCGCCTAATCCATTCAATGAAGGACACATCACACATGCTTCCATTTAAAAATTGAAAAGGAGTTGCTTGCAATTTCTAAAGTTTGCCGCTTCCTTGGGGCTAAACTTATTATGCGCGTTTGGCTCTCTTAAAGATATTTTATTTTTAATTTTATTCATAAAATTTATAAATTTTTATTTTAGTCTCTCAAATATATTACGAAGTTCTATATTAAATCATTATTGTTAACTTTCGTAASAAAAACTTGGAGTAACCCTTTTTTTTCTTCCCATTATTTCTTTATGTTGCAATAAACTATCTGAATTSTTTCGAGGATAATAAGGTTGGGTATGACTGAGTCGCTGCAAAAAGAAAACAGACACTTTTATAGTCAAGTCAATAAGAGATCGATTTTACGTCTCAAGCTAAAGAATCAGATTGCGTATCTGGGGTTAGAATGATGTTAAGGTGTCAAGTGGTGGAGTCCAACAAGACCGTTCTGTTAGRCCGTTTGATAGTTCGTTAGGTAGTTACAGATGGTATAGCTTCTTATCTCGRCACATGATTATTTCCATCGACGAACAACAGTTAGATTGAGCTATCAAGTCATAGTTGGTCGAGCTTAATAGGTTGTATGTTTTCGAGATCATGGAGAATGATCTGTTAATTCAATCTTTCCTAACTTTTCATGTGGCATGCCATATTTTGTCCTCCAACGTATATATATTCTAAGTTCCATTCAACCAATCGTTGGGAGTGGTTTGGATCAGGAGAAYGAGGATGGGAATAATGGGTAAATGGGGGAAAATTTATGTACTACACGTTGAGTWCCATACTCTCTTCAATTTGAAGCTTGCCACATCGGTAGTGTATTAAAAATGATGTTCGGTCAATTTCTTCCATTTATTGTGTCAATGGGAGGGAGGAAGTATGGTACTCCCGTAGTACTAGAAATTTTCTCGATAAACSGTACAAGGTTTGTGACATTGGGTCCTCTCTCTYTCCTCTTTTCAGTAAATTGCTTTCTAGATGTACTCATTTACTTTATTTTATTAAAATTAATTAATTAAATTAGTAAAAATATTTCAATAAAATTTATAATAATAAAGTTACATTAAATTTTTGTTAATAATGTATTAAATTAATTATTCTATTGTAATAAATTAATTTATTAAAGTATATTATTTTAAAATTTTTAATATCAAAATAGAAATGTAATAAATTGATGCAATTAAATTAATGAAAATGATTAACTGCCAAACCGAGCATAGTTCAAATGGTAATTGACATATATTATCCAAAAACTTCTATTGTAACAAGATGCTAACTATTTTTTTTATGGGTGATGTTTTCTTTTGACATGATAGTGACGGGTGTTTCAAGATCATGTGTAAAGAACCAATTGCGATTGTATATATATATATATATATATTGTAAAATCAATATGAATGTGGGAATTTGAACATTTGATTATGYTCAACGTTAATCAATTAGATAGATTGCAATTAAGAGAAGATTAAAGGGAAAAAAAATCAAATGAATTCTCAAATAAAGAGAAAGACACAGATAATATTATCTTACCTATTGAGTTATGTTTGGATTTATATCATACAAACTTTCTTATTATTTTTATAWTTTTTAGTCCCYAACGATGAAACCCTAAAATTACAAAGTTGTCCTTGTCCTTCAATAATTAAATAATGTATTATCTTTAAGAAAAGTGACGTTTAAAAAGGATAACTTTTTCTTTTTCATTTAAATTGTATATATATAACCAATAAGCCCCACGGCTACGGCATCTTAAATATTCAAAATATTACTCCAAATTCTCCACCACATCTCAAGCAAACCATTGACTCTTCCAAACCAACCCATAAACTTTAGTGAAATTAATTTTCTCCCCAACAATTATACAAAATACGACATAGAGGCCTCTCTCTCTTTCCCTCATTGGCTGTTTTTCTGTTACTTGTTCAAGTTTTTTTTTTTTTCCAAAAAATAGAATTTGTTTTACTTTAGTCMATGCATGCTTTTTGAAAATAAAATCACAGTAATTTATTTACGTGAAAAATAAAATTTCTTCAACATTAACTTGAAATTTTCAATAAGCAATACCCTCAGATTAATTATGCTTCATCATTTTTTTTATTTATCTCACGTTAAACGAATTAACAATAAAGATTCAGTACATATATTCTTGGAAATTCAAGAACTTTATTATAAACTAGACATAGTTTTGAAAATGCCAAGTGTTACTAACAACCCTAGATGAAAATAATCCAGATTTTTTAAAGTTGGAAAATCACTAAATAGTCTCAATTAGACACGAGACAAATTCATAATTACCAATTTGATCGGTRTGATTTGAGCTTAGTTTCAATTTGTTCTAATTATGATTTAAGTATAATTTCAAATTTGTTCCAATTCCCGTACATTGGTGGGCTAATCCTCACAAATAATCCATATATTATTACAAACCATTACTATATAGAATATGGTCACCCATTGGACCTTTCTTTKAAAGAAGTTTTGTAAGGTTTAGTCTCATTAATATTATAAAGACTATGTTGAAACCAAAGTTAAGATATGCACTAAATTAAAACTAAACCTAGACTAAATTGTTTTATTTTTTAAAATTAAGCTCCTAAATACTGCTTTCACTGTTTCTTTGTTCCATTATTTTTAATGAACCTTTCTAAAATTTAAGTCAATTTGTTAATTTTTATTTTTCTTCTTAGAAAAACTTTATGTTTTGAAATGGGGCCACCCAAGCTSAAAGTCTACTCCTTTTGGCTTGTTCTATACTTATAAACTCTCCCTTCTTCTTCTTCTTCTTCCTTGTACTCTCCAAGACATTAGGAATTTCTCCAAACAGAAACAAGAATTCTAGAGAGAGAGAGAGAAATGGGTGGCTGTATCTCCCTCCGATCATCTTCCTCCACCGTCGCCGACGAAAAAATCCGAGTTGTTCATCTGAGCGGCCACGTCCAGCACTTCCTCCACCCCATAACCGTCCGCCACGTCACCGGAAAGCCGCCGGAGCACTTCCTCTGCACCGCGGCGCAGCTGGTCTCCGCCGCCTCCGCCCCGGCGCTGAACCCCGACGCCGTCCTCCAGCCCGGCAAGGTCTACTTCATGCTTCCCTTCTCCACTCTCCAGCCCGACGTTTCCCCCATGGACTTGGCCTCCATAGCCAGAAGGCTCACCGCCGCCGCCAAATGCGCCGGAAAGACACCGCCGCCGCCGCCATCCAGTGGGCCCCGTTGGAACTCTCCGGCGGCGGGGCAGAGCTCGCAGACGTGGAAGCCATTGTTGGACACCATTAAGGAGAGGCCGTTGAACCAGAGGATCAACAAATCGGATTTGCAAGCTAAAACTAAATCTTTGCGTGTAATTAATGAGTAATTAGTTAATTAATGAAATTTAGCACTTTGGTTTTTTTTTTCTTTCTTTCTTAGATTGAGTCTATCGTGAGCATCCAACTATAGATTATAATAGATACTTTATCTACTGACGTTGGGAATGACTTTTTTGGATTGAATCTCTACTAAATATTGAATTAGTTTTTCTAACGGTATTTTTTCTTAATTGAAACAATTATTAAAAGAAAAATGATTTAATTGCAATAATGGTGTAATGTTTATATAAGTTAACTTAATATTTTATAATCCCCTCAAAATATGGAAACTATTATATGTTCACCTCGTTAAGGAAATGATGTATGAACCAACTGTTCAAGTCAAATTGATTAGGCTGGACCATCCGACCAGACCCAACTATATATTCGATCGAGTTGATCCACTCGAGTCTAGCCTTAGAGACTACTTCTATATAAATAAAAGATGTTTTGAGTCTAAGGTACATTTTTTTCATAACTCTACTCTTTGCTACCCTCAACTCAATCATTTTGTCTTACTTAAGTAGTAGAATGTGTTGTTTAAAATTACACTAGTGTGCAAATCTTATGTGCGTGCAGGTATTTGTTGAAGTTTTCGACGTTATAGCCCCCGAATCTAAATCCTACGTTTATAACATACAATATGATTAAAAGAAATTTGGAGTTCCCTCCAAAAGTGGTTTAATTAAGTAATTAAGTTTATATATATATATATATATATATATATATATATATATATATAAAAATATAACCTAATCCAATTTACTATTCTTATATATGAACAAATTTTCTTGATGTAAGCAACATTAGAATAATTAATGCATCCCTAAATACTTCCAATTTAACAAGATTCACAAAGTCTAGAAGATCTCCTAATTTCAAAATTATCTGTAATTAATTTATGAGAAAGCGATTGCAATTATTATTATTATTATTATTTTGAGAAAGAGCGATTGCAATATTCTTGATTTGGAAAATTATTATCTCAAAGTCTCCAATATGCCCATGTGTCTTGAAAACTTCTTTTCTCTTGAAGATATTGAATATCATTGTCAAAGACTTAGGGGAGAAATTTTTTTCTAGTTAGATTATATTTTGGTTATGTCAACATTTATTTTTTATTCTTTTGTTTTTGTTTCTATTTGTATGAAGACTATATATATATTTACGATTCAACAAATTACACTTGATTTTAAAGTTAAAAGAAATTATTTAATAAAACTTTAATTATAAAACAAATTGTCTGTGTTACTCTTCGTAAACCATAGACATTTTTAAATGTTAATTAAAATATGGTAACAATATGATACAAATTTTAAAGACATAGACATCAAATGAAACTAAAATAGTAATCTAAAAATCGAAAGGAAAAAAAAAATCAGTTTTTGCCCTTAAATTAGGTAATCAATTTCATCAAATTATATTATAGACTTAGATAGTATTACAATTTTTACCTATGTTCAATTTTTATAATTCATCCACTCATTTTAACAAAAAAAAAAATTCTCTAAAAATACACTTTTTATTTTTTTGAAACACTCTAAAAATTCACTAATTTTATTGAAATCAAACTTTTACCTAAAATAAGTTTGATCATAAAGTACAAAATCAACCTGTTGAATAACTCTGTTAAAAAAAAAGATAAAAAACTTCTACCACCACATACACATCCATATTATTGTAATTCATTGAACATTCATGAATAAGTTGTTCAAATGAATTCTATTATTAAAAGTAAGAATTGTGCAATCGTTTTTTCAAATTTAATGTAAATATTACAATACAATTATCTAAGTTGTTTAATGTGCAATAGGATAAAATTATAAGTTTACGATAAAAATTGATACGCATCGTGAAATTCATGATTAAAAGTTTTTTTCCTCAAATTAAAAATATAATTCAACCTATTAATTTAGTATTCTCCATCTCTCTCTTTTTCCACAAGTGGCTGTCAAGAAAGACTTGTCGGAGAGGCAGACAAGACAATAAGAGTAAGAGAAAGAAAACCTTCTCAAGTATTGACCTCACAAAACGTTGACTAATTAATAATGGAAACCTTCAAGTGTTGACTAAAACACAACCAAATTCATACATTACGAAGATTCATGAATATAAGAGATTGATTTAATTCTAGAGAGAGGAGTTATATATATGGTGACATTTCGAAAATTTCGATCGATAATCTTAAGTAATTCAAGCATAGTTTAGTGGATAAGACATCTATTACTATTACAAAAGTCTAGGATTCAATAACATAGAAAAAGAAATAATAAGAAGAATATGAGATTAGAGTTTCTAGGATTCAATAACATAGAAAAAGAAATAATAAGAAGAATATGAGATTAGAGTTTCCAATTAATCGAGGAATGAAAAAAGAGTGAACTTCTTTTCTAGAGTGAGAGCGAAATCATGATAAGTTGAAAGAGAGATAAAAGATAAATGATCTGTGTCGACGTTAAGTAAAAATAATATTAAATATGAAAAAGTCTAATTACACGTCACATCACTAGTTAATCACCCCATATTATAATTATTATTTTTTTTGGGAGTCATTTAACATAAAGTTAACATCAAGGACTAATTCAATTAAACCTTGAGTATAGAATTTAAAGACAAAAATTAAACTTAATCCAAATTAGAACCAATAAAGATTAGGATGAATTATGTTATGATTTTTCTTTTAATTTAGAATTGGTGAACCAAAGTCCTTTTCAAGATACAAACAATTCAAACTAAAATATTGTATAACTCAAGCTACTCTACATGAGGAAGGCTCAAACCCATGCTCTATTATAAAATTAAAAAAAAAAAGGGAGAAAAGTAAAAGGAGAGAACACTCTTGGAATTAGTTTTATTTTTGAAAGAAAGTTCATCATAGACATTTTTTTATTTATAAAAAATTTGGATCTATTAGAACTAAATATACATAATTGATATATATATATAAATTATATTATCTGAAAATTTTAAATTTAGGAAGTTAATTGGCTGCATTATATTATATTTGGATGAACTTCTATTTTATACAACAATGATGAATATTAACTGTTGAATTTGTATTTAACTAAAGAAAGGATAAAAGCTCTGTTTTCAATTGTGATCTTATTTAAACCTCAAGTGATTTTTCTATTCAATTGGTTGATTTTATCCTTCAATATATAAAAATTGCAACTTGAATTTAGTTTACTCTTTCATATATGAGACCAACCTTTGCTTTTCAATGTGCACTTCCCTTCAATCTAATCTTTTATGCTAGATTTCCAAAAATAATCTTGTTATAAGTTGGATAATTACCTGATAAAACTAATATTTTAAAAGAAAAACCATTATCGTGACATTCGAGTAGAGTTGTACATAAATATTGAACCGACTCTACATCCAAAATGAGAGAAATCTTGAAACTACATAAGTATATGGATAAGAAAAAGACTTAAAAAAAATTGATAGTTATTGTCTATAACAACAAAGTACACCTTGCTCTTCGATTACTCAATCTTCACATAACTCCAAAGTTAAGCATGCTTAGATCAATCTTATAGTTAACTCCCTAAAGATTTTTTCTATGAAACAAAAGTATGCTAAAAAGACCTTCTTGGTCTATTGTAAAAGTCTTTCACTGGCAGCTTAGGTTAAGCAGATGTGGTGCAAGGTGTCGAGTGCGAATTTCACATCGTTACACTGCAACTACAACATCTTAACAAACCAGTTACATTCCAAATTCAAGAATACGATCGATGGTACAGCACAAGCCGCCATACCCCCGGATGCACTGGTAGGCCCACCACCACTTCACTTTCACTTAGGCCCGGGCCACCAAATGTAGGGATTTTCCCCTTTATCTTGATTCACACCCACTTTTAAGCTCTGAGTTGTTTTTGGGTGGGAAGTTAGAAGCCCCACGTACGGTTTTGAAGTCGAACCTTTCTAGCAGTGACTCCCAGGTCGTCACCCGATCTGTTGCGTCTAGCCCGTTCTCTAGGCGGATTTTCAGCCGCTCATGTTCAGGCATGGCTAGTCCACATCACAGTCCATTCTTAGACTGACAGCCTCTATACTTTGCTCTAACCAAAACTATTGCATCCTTTGCACGTTTAAAATTATAATTTATTTTTTCACATCTCACGTGTAATGTCATATCACCCAAACCTAATTAGAAAAGTTCTACTTTTTTTTTTCCACGTTATATTTTTCTTTCTTTCTTTCTTCTTAATTTTTTCCTTCAAACCTTTCATGGTTTCTTTCTATTGGGAATGGAGACAAAATAAAATAATAACCAAAACATTTCAGCTATTGTATTAGGCCGTGACTTAGCTTTTTTTTTTTTTCATCACCAAATTTGCTGGCCACCCTTCTTTTATTTTATATTTCCACAATATGAAGAATTAGAATTTTACAGAAGCAAAACAAAGGGGAGCAGCGGCCATTTTTATCGAAGAGAGAAGAAAGTGACATCTTGGATTCTAGATCGTCGTCGATAGTCCGTTCTCACGATTCTCATGAGATTCTTCATTCTATATATCTAAGTAACTATTGTTGTAGTGCTTCGAAGCTAAGTTGTTATTGTTTTAGAGAGAGTCATAGAGTGAAGAAAGGTCATTCTAATCTTCCCATTATAGTGAAACTTGCATATTGCAGCTGGACGTAACTCCGAGCTTGGAGTGAACCAGTATATTTTTTGGTGTTTGTTTTCTATCCCTATCTCGTATTTCCTTTATTATTGATTAAACTGTGATCTGTTCTATTATGTGGAATGGAAAAAACTAGAGATATTTTATATTACAGCGTGTGTATATATATATATATATTTCTCCCAAACAAGAAAACAAAAACAATACCCAATAATAATAATCATATATATATATAAATCAAAAGACAGATCAAATAGCTAGAGCTTCATTTTTCTAAAAAAGAAAGAATTCAAACAAAGGTTTGATATATTCTACACTTTTATTACACTAGTTACCATTTTTGTAACTTTATTTCTTCCATACCATATAATATAACCTTTATGAACTTTTGTTCAACAATAAAAAAAGGTACTAAATTGGGACAACAATGGGGGCTGGTGGGACAGTGGTTTGAATAGGAGAGCAATCCCAACCATTTTCTTTGGAGTAAGAGAGCTTGAAATGCTTTGGAACCCATTTCTCCATTCTTGATTCTCTCTGTTTTGCAATCTCCCTTTGCCTTTCTTCCACTTCTTTCTTTGCTTTCTTTGCCTTTTTCCAATCTTTGCTCATAATCCCTTGGCTCACTTCCCCCCACACCTTGGCTGATTCTGTTGCCCAAACACCCTGATCATATTCATTCATCAACGAAAAGTTTCAATTCGGGAAAAATTACGATATAATGTGACGAAGAAAAATGATATATGATCGATTTCGTACGTGATGGTATCGTAACTGAAAAGGTTTTGTAATTTTACCTTGGGATCATGAACAAGAGGAGCTTTTAAGTTGGAAATCACTTCCCTTGCATTGTATATTACTTTAACATTCCCATTGTTGTCCTTCAGTGTGACAGTTCTGCATTTTGAGCAAAATAGAGAATTAAATTGTCAAATTATAAATAACTTTTACTATATTTAATTGCCTAAGCTAAGAACAAAAAGTAGGTTAAATGACAAAGGCTAGCTTATAAATTTTTAGAAGGATGGTGTCTACTAGGTCCCCAAGTTTTAAACAATGTTTTATAAGTCGGGATTTTATTAGACACAAAAATGAAAGTTCAAATATCTACTAGACCCACTTTTTAAATTCCAAAAACTTAACCGACACAACACTGAAATTAAAGTTTGTCAGAAATGTATATTACACTTTTTAAAGTGTATGGACCTATTAAACACAATCTTAAAAGTTCAAAAGACCATACTTCTATTTAACCCAAAACATATATATATCGATGCTCGAAACTTTACCTATCCCAATGGCCGTAAATGTCACAGAGGTTAATGGGAAAATTAGATTGATCACCAAAAATGTTGCCATTGATGGCTCTACTATTTGCTTTGCGACCTAAAAAGCCAAGGCCTTTATAACTTATTTCAGCTGTTAGGCCATTTTCTTGGCATTGGATCTTCACTTTCCCTCCCCATTCAAGCCCCTTTGTTGGAAGGAATTTGAACACCAAGTTTGGACAGTTCATTTCATAAGTTTCGCCATGGTTTTTGAGCTTTAGCTGCCTCTTCCCGCACATCTCAGTTTCCACGCATGTACCTATATATTTAAACGTCGCTGAACCTTTTAGTCTTTCGTATCTTTAGATATGAGAGACGAATAATTTAAGATCCTGTTTGATAATCTTTTCTCATTGTTGAATAGAAAGATATGCTAGAGAGAGGAAAATAAACGCAAACTTTAAAACTCTTTCTATATATATACATATATTAGAGAGATATATTGGAAACCGAAAAATATTTGAAAGGAGAGAGTTAACTATGAAGAGTATACATATATATATTAATCGGTTTTTAATTAAAAAGCACATATCCTTGTTTGATAAATTTTTTTTTTTAAAATTTGGAACCCACCCTTTTGGATAATATATGCCTTATTAACTGTGTTCGGATTCACGTTTTGATGAGATTTTTAATTTCAAAGATTCGGTCAATTAGGTATGTCAATCACTATTACATCAAATTTAAAAACACCGATTATCATAATCAAAGTTTGAGTATAGCACAACATAATGTATCTTACTCATTTTCTAGAGGTCGAAAGTTCAATCTTACGTTTCCGCATTTGCTGTATGTATATATACACGTACTCATTCACAATATTTGCAATTAATTTCTAGAAATATTAAAATTATAACTATTTTTTAATATAAGTATATTTGGAAAATATTGTAAGAAATGAAGGTTAAATATATAATTTACCACGGTATTTGGGAGAAAAGTGATGACACCATATCATTTCTATGTTATGTTTCTCATCAGTGGCATGAAGGGCAGCTACAGGTGGCTGATGTGAAACCTGCAATATTTCAAAATCATAATCATATTAAATTCTAATGGGCAAAATAAAAATTAAAAAATAATAATAAAAAGAAAAAAAGAAAAAAAAAAATTTGTCAAGGAGAACATAGCTCAACGGATCATAACTGACGAGAAATAGATGCATCCAAAAAACGTGATTACATGAAAAGATAGAGACAAAATTGAAAAAACGATGGGGCAAAAAGGGAAAGACCTGCTCAAGTAGGACGTTGAGAGTGCCCCTGGAAACATGATGGGTCTCTCCAAGAATTGGGTTATAAGGGAAAACCCCAAAAATGAGAGGGCGAGTTGTCGAAATGCTCCATCCGACAACTGCGGCCAATCGGTCGACACCAGTTTTCCCGTCGTTACACTTCCCCAACATGTCGTCTCCCAAACAATACACCGATTCTCCAAAACATTGAAGATGAGATTTTGGCATGTTGTAGTATGGTGGGGCCTACATCATCATCAAAAAAAAAAAAAGAAAAAATTCCAACCGTTAATTTTTTAATTAAATGTCAATGTCGATGAAGATTAATGTGAAAATATAAATTCCGTCGACGTTTTTATGATGTAGAGATCCATTCATTCGATAACGGGAGTGGATAGAGATTTTGAACTTCTAGCCTTTTGAGAGAGGTTATCGATATCTTTACTAATTTCTTTTAGTTATCAGAGCGGGGATGAACTATAGACTTTTGAAAATGTATTAAAATTTCTTATCCATATACTCGAATATGCACCAATATCTTTAATTAATTTAATTAGGCTCGTGGTCATAGTACATTATATTAGATCTGATAGGTTCGACAACCACTATTCTTTTTTTCAAGTTTTCAAAATTTAGTTAGAATTTTAAAAGTATTTTTCTTTCGCAAGGTGGATTATATAATAAAGAAAAGTATTACTAAATAAACATAGTTTTTAAAAAATAAAAAACCAAACAAATCCATTATTCGCAATAAAAAAGAAATGGGTTACAATTTTAAAAAGTAGAAATAAAACTAAGAATTAAACCATAAACAAACTTAATTCTTAAAGATAAAAATTAACGATTTATCAAACATAGAAATAAAACTAAGAATTAAACCGTAAAGAAACTTAATTCTTAAGGATAAAAATTAACGATAAAAGTATTATCAAACATAGAAATAAAACTAAGAATTAAACCGTAAACAAACTTAATTCTTAAAGATAAAAATTAACGATAAAAGTATTATCAAGTGAAATATTTGAGTCATTGGAGCCTCTTTTTAAAATTTTAATAATGTTTTTGTTCTTCAATTTTAATTATTTAAGAATTATGCTTAAATATTTTCAGTAACATAAAATTAGATTAAATTTTAAGTAGAAAGACATGTGATCTGAACCGTACCTTGTATTTGAAGGAAATGAGATCCAATCCTGGCCGTAGATCTTTGATGATAGTCAAAACATGACGTAGAAGATTCGATGCTTTTTCCGCATCAGATTCCTCCTCCAAAGACAAAGGCTTTGCAAGTACAATTGGAGTGCACTTTGAAACAATGCTCTCATCCACATCCTACAATTTCTCAGCTCTTAGAATATATATATTCCACAATTCACAATTCAATAATTAAAAAATAAAGAATAAAAGTTTATTTAGGGTATAAGTTATACTTCACCTTTTAAACTTTCCAACTTATTCTACTTTTCTTTTCGATGTTTTAAATATTCTGTAAATCATTTAACATTATTCGAACATACATGATGAGTCAATGTAACGATGTAGAAGAGACAATTAAGTTATTGATAAACGAAAAGGAAGAGGATCTCTACTATCTTAATAGAAAAGACATAGAAGAAAGATCAGTTACCATTGGAAAAATAAGAAACAAACACGTGATTGATAGACAATAGAATAAGTTATTAAAAATGACTGACATAATACTATCCAACAGTTTTACACCATTAGAATCATGAGATGGAATTTGAAAATGAGAAGTGAGAGAGAGTTACCATGGAGAAAATAAGAGACCAACTAACAGTAAAAAATAAGAGAAGCGTTGTTCAGTATGACTGACATAATATGATCATATAGTTTTACACCGTCAGAAACACGAGTGAGAGAAAAATAAATAAAATGTATATTAAAGGAGAGAGAGATTGAGAGATCACCATTTTTTCCCTCTCTTTTTTGAAGATGAAATTGGAATGGAATGAGTTAGAGAAATGAAGGAATGAGAGTATTTATAGGGCAAAGGGGGAGAGATTGAGAGAGAATTTGTAGTCAATGGTCAAGGAAATGCATTAAACTTCCACACGGTCTCTTGTCACCATTTGTTCAATTTTTTTGGTAACATCCAACGTGAAACTAAAGAGCAAGTAGACACATTGGGAAATTAATGCAATGTAATCTCAAACAAGGATTTCTTTTTCATTTTTTTGTTTGATCCCAAAGTTGTGTTCCCATTCTTCTCTATTCAAGTATTAAATTTTTATGGATATCTCGATATTTCCATCAACATTTTTAATCATCGATATAAGGGTTGAATTGAAATTTCTAGAATGTCATAAAAAATTGACAGAATATAAAGAAAAAATATGACGTCGGAGAGGAGGGGTACATTGATGAATCGGTACCACATCTAAATGAGAGGGATCCTCAGATTGTGGAAGCATGGTTAGGAAAGGTTTAAAAGAATTGATAGTTCTCCTTTTCAGTGGTTCGGTCATAATAAGGAAGCATATGAGTGAAGACAAAGCATGCTGAAAGGACTCGTGTTAGTCTATAAGGATAGTCTTTGTTCTTCTAAGTAGCTTGGATAAAGATGATCTTTCTTGGGGCAAATAGGTGTTGAGTTCGAACTCCTAATCCTGGGTCTAGAGTGTTACAAAAAGATATAAAAAGAATATCACTAATGTGGCATAATATTAATAATAATAATAATTTCTAATTTATTTAAAATGGGTAAAATGTTTATTTGTGAATTAAAATACTTTTATGAATTTTTTATTTTTATAACTTTTTTAGAAATATCCATCGACGACATCAATATTTTTATTATTGATATTTCCACAGATTTGAGACCTCGACATTTTCATCGATATTTAAAATTTTGATTTTTATTATTATTTCATCTCTCACCTAACACCCCCCATTTAGGCTTTTACTATGTTTCTACTTAAATGATGTGTTTGGTTTTAGATACATTGAAACCTATTTAATATTTTGGATGAGGATGAGACCTTAATATTAAGAAAGTCAAAGGTCCCATTTTACCAAACTTTTTATTTGGTCAATCTCTATTTAATTTATTTTGTCATCGTATATCAAAAGTTTCTGATCGATGAAATGTTTGTGTACACCAAATCACTACAACAAATATAACTTTTTATTGCATGTATGAACTATCATCTAATAGATAGCGATTAAAATCGATTTAAGCATCATCTTATGTTATTGACGATTATGAATGAACAAAATCATACCTATGTTTCTTTAGACATATAAAATAAGCTAACCTAAAAGATAAATTATACTTTAAACAAAATATTAGTGAGAATAATTTCTTCAACCTAATGTAATTGTCAATAAGATTAACGTTTATCTTTGTTCTATTTTGTGTAAAGTTTTCTTCAATTTAAAATTACCAAATAATATTATATGATATTGTCAAATTGGTAAAAGAGTATTATTATCGATGTTCCCAACAATTGTAGAAATTTGATTAGGATGGTCCAAGAAAAGTAGTCGTTGAGAGAAGATAGTCTTCTAATGACTCATCAGTACTTGTCCTTCATATATCTCTTAGTCTACGTCTTGTACATGTACAGACTGATATGGTAAGAAAGCTCGATTCATACTTATGGAGGCATAAAGATAATTCTTCTAATTACTCTTCGATACTTGTCCTCCATATATCTCTTAGTCTACGAGTGGCACATGTGCAGATTGATATGGTAATTAAGAAAACTCAATTCATATTTATGAAGGGCTACATCTGAAATCTCTAGTTTATGTGTGTAGAACGTGTGTGTGCACGTCGATTTGTCGAGAAAACTCGATGAGGCCTACCTTGTGAAAAGATTCAAAATCTATAGCAAACAAGCCAATAGAGAATGAGGAATCTGAGAAAAAGAGAACTCATTATGCAAAATCTAACTGTATTACTAAACAAATTAGTAATCAAAACTTAAGTGGAAGAAGCCAGGAGCCTTCCCTCTTGTTCTGAGTTGATTCTTTACAGCCACATACATATTTCAGAAAAATTACATCTGACATCCTATTTAGCTTATTCCAACAGATACAAAGAATATTACAACCACATAATCTTTTACCTCACCCAAAACCGAACTCATCGTTGGTATCCCATGGCTACTACAGGTATTCTAACCTTGTGTCCCCTACTGCCCTTCATTAGAACCTCGCCGAAACTGTATGTTCCTGTCAGTGATCGAGCTGTGAGAGTTACTGTAAATTTTCTGGAGGAACCAGATCGTAAAGTCATTGCTGGAGGATCTGTTTCTATGGCAACGGCAGGGTCCATTCTTGCTGTGAGCACATAGGTTTCTTCCTCAGCAACGTTCGTTACCGTGCGAGTAACAGTCTGAGTTCCCACAAGATGGGAGATGGTGATTGATGGGGAGTTGAGATTCCAAGGATGCCCCATGGTGAAGTTGCAAGGTGAGCTTGTATAGTTGTGTATCTCGTGAACGTTGATGCCTGCGGTCGTGCACAAAAATCCCAAGTAATCTTCATAACCTGAGATTTAGCGAGATCAGATGTGAGCGGGGGCCATCAGATACATATTTGAAAAACTACTCCTGAAGTGCTAGTAAATGATTTAGAAAAAATCTATGCCTGAATGCATATATGCAGACGTGGAAAAGACTTTTAACTATCATCGCCATCCTAGTAAAATTCAACGTTAAAAATAAAAAATAAAAAATCATGTCACTTTTTATGCTCATATGGACGTTTTCATTCTCATTATTCACGTCTTCTGAAATTTAATGGTTGATTTCATTTCTGAATAGGCTTGAGCTTCACCAAAAAAGGAAAGAAAGCTAGACAAGTGAGCATGACCTATGAACCAATCCCCAAGGGAAGATGGATTAAGATGTGACTCCCTTTAAGCGGTCTCGGTAGAGACCCGTGTTCAAATTTGACCGGCGTGATTGGTTACTTCAGAATTAAAGTACCAAATTTAGATAAGGGAAGCAAGACGAAGACAAACCTGCATCAAAGATGAGTCCAGGATCCAGGGCTGCTCTTGGGTTTACAGCGCCACTCCCATAATCAAAAGGTGTGGCAGGTACCAGTTTCATGGCTTCTGTTTCGGAACATTGTTGTGCTTTAAGAGGTCTTCCTGCTCTATCCATCGTCGTTGATGTCGTCATCAAGGCCGATTTGATGGCTGCAGGACTCCAATTAGGATGCTTCTGTTTCACAAGAGCTGCAATACCAGCTATATGTGGTGCTGCCATGCTAGTTCCAGAAATCATAGCAAATCCCTCTCCTGGAAGAAGGAAACAGTCAGCATGGAGTATTCCATTTCAAATAATAAATATTGGTTTCGGGTTCCTTTGATTATAAAAAAATGGGGCAAAACTACATCAAACTCTATCCGACCGTGTTGGATTTGTTCTCTTTTATTCTCTGTTATTATTTATTAGAACAATGGTTGCTATAAAGGAACATTAATACTGAGATAAATGGATTCGATGATGCTAACCAACGTAGTTTGGCTCGTCTGTTCCATTTGGAGACCAAGCAGCCCAGATCAAAGAACCAGGAGCTAAAATATCCGGTTTGAGAAGGTCTGCATCCTGAAAGCTAAAATCTCTAATGTTGGGCCCACGAGCAGAAAACAATGCCACCTCAGGAGCTGATTTGTATAATAAAGGCATCAAACCATCCCCAATTCTACCCACAGCCTCAAAGCTCTTTACTCGACCTGTCCAGTCTCTTGGTGTAGAGGTGTTGTAGTAGTCTATAAGATCCTAAAAGTAAATTCCAAAGTACGAAATCACGAAAGAGTAAGTGAGACAATAGTTTAGAAGGAACAAGCAAGCGTAAACAATATAAATGGAGGAAAAAGAAAAGCAAAAGAAAGTGAAAGGTTAAATCCAAAAAATAAAGTGTAGCTAAAGAGTTGTATACTATGGATATTATAATATGGATACCGAATCTGAGTATTTTCGAAGAGCAAGATACACTATAAGATGACAAGTTTTTTTGAAGAGCAATAACATGCTTTTGTATGCAGGAAACTGTATTTGCAGAGGAGAGATTCAAAAATTACCATCGACTTGCTGACATCAGTTATAAGAATCCCAGGAATGCCAACAGGAACAGGGTCAAATTTTGCTCCAGGAGAGACGTTTTCAACAGCAAGGACAAAGCCAGCTGCACCAAGGGCTTTTGCTGTTTGAGAGACTTTCTTTACTGAAGCGGTACCGACAACAAAACTGAATGAATAACCACACAGAAGAACTTTTCCTTCAACCAAGCGTTTATTTAGAACTTCAGGCCTTTGGCAATCTGAGGGGCTGTACTTCGTTACTGAAGAATCTATCAGAACATCATTAGCTGCAACCAATGTGTACGTTCGATTTAAATGTGTAGCAGCTGCACAAAACAACAAATTTATATCAGTTCTATCTACTTATTTTAATCAATTGCAATATGATTTTAAATATTAGAAGCAGGAAAGGCATTTGACATCTGCAATGCAAAATAAATGTAAAAAGAACCTACAGAATACTAGAACCAAATTATAAGGTTAAATAACATTTGACAATGTAGAAGATCTTATAGATTCCCAAAAGTTCTTTTAAAATTATCACCTTCAAAGAGAGAGAAGACGACTTTTATGGCTCAACTTTATTAGAGCCTTCCTATAGACTTCTTGGAACAGATGGAACTCCCGGATCAGGGAGCCATGCTTTGACAGTCCTTTTTTTCAATCTTCTCTCTCTTTTGGCCCTCACATTGTGTAAACAAACTGCATACTTTCGTAGCTATGGCTCGACTTCTCTTACTGCCCAATGGAAGTGTTTTCCCCCGCCTTATGTAGTTTCATATTATCAATGAAATGTTCTTATCCAAAAAAATAAAAAAAAATAGAAATAAAAATCTTATGGGACCATCTATATGAGATATTGAATATCCTATGAATTTCCTAAATACTAAATAATCATAGGTTAAGCAATAGTGCT